GATGTTGATGCAAGAGCTCTGGCTCCGTAAAATTGATTGGGACTCTTCCATCCCCGACGATCTTTTACCTTATTGGATTAATTATTATACGAATTTGCCTCATATCAGTGAAATACGCATTTCCCGATGGACAGGGATACGTCAAGATAAACTCGAAGTGGAATTACACGGATTCGCGGACGCGTCCACTCGAGCTTACGCCGCGGTCGTTTACCTTCGAATCGTGCATTCTACCACGAATATTCAGGTGACTCTCCTCGCGGCCAAAACGAAGGTCGCGCCGTTAAAAACCGTCAGCGTTCCACGATTAGAACTTAACGCCGTCGTACTATTAACTCGGTTGTTAGATTGGGTAAAAAATTTCCTGCGCTTCCCGCAAGCGTCATTATTCGGATGGACTGACTCCCAAATCGCATTGGCTTGGATTCAGCAACATCCATCGCGGTGGAATTCCTACGTCGCGAACCGCGTCTCCGAGGTGCAGACGCGCCTTCCGTCAGTACGTTGGTAGCACGTCCGCACGCACGACAATTCTGCCGACTGCGCTTCTCGCGGCTCTACCGCTATCGATCTCGTACACCATGAATTATGGTGGGTAGGCCCCCCCGTGGCTTAGAAAATCCCCGGCCTCGTGGCCGATTCTCCCGACTCTTACCGGAAAGGAAATTTTGCAAACGGTATCTTCCGAAGCGCGCAAAGCTACCGTTCATCTCGTCGATCCAACTCCTGAGTGGGAGCTGCTCACCTCGTGCTCGAGCTGGATCCGACTTCTCCGTATTACCGCGTACATTCGCCGTTTTGTGCAAAACTTAAAAAATAAAGTCGCCTCATCGACGATCGTCAAGTTGCCTTTGACCGCAGAAGAGATCCACGAAGCCTCGGTCTTTTGGTTTCGATCGGTACAAGCGACCTGCTTTCCTGATGACTTGAAGGCCTTAAAAGCTCATGCCACCGTATCGAGAACAAGTCCATTACGCTCTCTCCACCCATTTATCGGGAAAGATTTACTAATCCGGCTAGGCGGGCGGCTCGAAAACTCAGCGCTGAGTTACAATGAGCGACACCCGATCATACTCCCGCGACATCATATTTCTGAACTTTTGATCGATCAAGTTCACCGACGCTCCCTCCATGGAGGGACACAACTCACGCTTAGATGTCTCCGTCAGACATATTGAATAATTTCGGCGAGAAGCATGATCAAGTCTCACATCCATATATGTGTTACCTGCCTTCGATACTCCGCGAAAACGCCGACGCAATTAATGGGTGATCTCCCGAATCCCCCGAGTCAATCCCTCTCCTCTTTTCTCTCACACGGGCATAGATTACGCCGGACCGATGATTATTACCCCCGTGGTCGGCCGTGGTCAAAGGGGGAGCAAACATTACGTGGCGGTCTTCGTTTGTCTTGCCACTAAAGCGATCCACCTCGAGTTTGTCGAGGATTACTCCTCCGAGGGATTTCTTGCCGCATTTCATCGGTTCGTCAGTCGACGCGGACTGCCATCGGACATGTACAGCGATAATGGCACGAACTTTCGGGGTGCGGATCGCAAGCTACAATGCAGCTTTCGCTTGCTTATGAACGACCCTTCCCTCAAAGAAATCCTCGCGAATGACGGTGTGAAATGGCATTTTGTGTCCCCGGCGGCACCACATTTTGGCGGGCTTTGGGAGGCTGGCGTTAAAAGTTTTAAGCACCACCTCAAGCGGGTGATCGGTGCTCCGTACCCTGTCTCGCTCGGAATTCGTGACTATTTTATGTAAGATAGAGGCGTGCCTCAACTCTCGACCGATTTCGCCCCTCAGCGACGATCCGTCCGACTTTACCGCGTTGACGCCTGGTCATTTCCTCATCGGTCGACCGCTCACCAGCCTACCGGAGGAATCATTGCTCGAAATCAATGCGAATCGGTTGTCGCGATGGCAACACGTGCAACTCATGGTCGAACAGATCTGGCGTTCTTGGTCGTTGGACTACTTACATTCATTGCAACAGCGCGTCAAATGGACCGAATCTCACGATAATCTCAAGGTTGACGAGTTGGTTTTACTAAAAAATAACCTCTTTCCTCCTTCGAAGTGGGAACTTGCAAGGATTCAACAGGTCCATCCCGGACTTGACGGTCGCGTTCGCGTCGTTACATTACGCACCGCCAATTCCGAATTGAAGCGACCAATAACGCAGATCTGTCGGTTACCTGCGTCTATCGGGCCCACGAAACCCGTAGAATAACGTTAAACTAAAACTATTTTGTTCCTCATTACATATAAGAACATTGTGCAAAATAGTTTAAGCTCTCAAGTGTATATAGTGTATATAAATAAATGTATCATAAGACTTCAGCTCTCATTTGCGTGCGCACTTATGCGACCTCGTTCACCCCCGTTTGTTTCGCATTCCGTTGAATACGAGGCGGGCGGCATGTTAAGAATCTAGCGCTCAAAAAGTGAAAGCGAGCGTTGGGAATATTTGAGAACGCTCGATTTGCTCGAAAACGCGTTTATTTGCCTTCACCCCGGTTTTTTGATGTTTTTGCTCGCGCCCGGACCACAAGTGTACATCGCGTGATCGCTCGTACTGCGATCAATAGTCTGGTCGCTCGACGATTTGGAGCCAATCAGCGTTTCTCACGTCTCGAAATTTCTCGCGGAAAAGTTCGGAGCTCCGGCCGCGATCGTTTCGCTTGCTTCGGCCGGGAGCTCAGTGAGCCCTAGCAATTCGTAAGCGACACGTGTATTTGTCGATAGCGAAAAACGGAGTCGAATCGTAGCGAAGCTTAAGTGGTGTAATAGCTAGTGCGATCTTTCCACGCGAATCTGACATTGTAACCAGTGTAACGAACCGCGAAAAATCTCAAAGCCGCAACTGGTGACAGCGGTGGGATGTCAAAGCATCCCTGATGTGAAAATATCGCGGATGTTGCGACATCGCACTTAAAGATAATTCTTGAATTGCTTGATTTTCTTCGTGTGCCTTAAAAATATCATGTAAATAATATGTATATAAATACGTAAATATCATAACGGTCTATAAGTGTTATAACTATAATAAATAAGCCAATAAGGAAGTCTGCATATTGCTATGAAGCAAAATATCAGTGTGAACGCTCATATTTTTCACTGCTCGGAGAATATATGTTTTCTCTCCCTTTTTTTTTGTGTAATGCACATAATAATTTTTGAATTCAGAATTCTGCACTCAATGCGATTACATGCTCTTAAGCGATAAATTACAATATTAATATTATTATATCATTATATAGCAATATTATTATATTTATATACAAATTGCTAACCCTAGCTGTTTAAGATTGCAAGAGCTCTTAAAATTTAATTATTAACATCGTTATTTTACGTATTGCAAAATACCTGCTCAAGAAAATTAATTTATGTTTCGCATTCTCTCTACAAGAAGCATTCTCTTATCACTCAATCTTTTCAGTTATGCTAAATTCTAAAAATAATACTATGGAGGATTTAAGGAGAAAATCAAGGTAAATGCTCGAAATTATCAGGAGCGTCAAGAGTATATTGGCTTATCGATTATATTATCATACACGAATATCAATTGCAAAATCAACATTTAAGTGCAATTTTTGGTTTACAGTTATTATTAGAGTATTAGCGCGGTATAATCATTTCTCCTTTTATGCGAATAATGTTTTTCTTTGCTGTGTATATATATATAATTAGTAGAGAGTTAATATTAATAAGTACCGTTGACGCTACAATTTGAAACAAG